GTTATCTTTTACTTGTGCTGACAATTTTCCTGTCACCTTACTTGGAGTGTCAGTCCACTATTATATAACATTCCTATTTTCTAAGGGAAAAATGTGATTTTCACTCATTTTTTAATGCAACATGTGTGGTTTTGCCCCCATCCTCTAACACCATCTATGTGATAGAGCTTCATACTCTGCCAATATGTGCATTTTTTTTAATTAAGCATTTCTTTGTGCCCTATACTGCCACAGGATTTACTTATTTCTGGTAGATGCATTTGTTTATATAACAAACAGTTGACTCTGCAGACAGGAGACTTAAAACTGTTACCTGCTTGTGCTATAGTTAAATTCTCTTAGCATTCTACTATAAACTTATCTGTCTGATACAAGTATAACTATGACTTTTTTAAATGAACAAACCACCCCCACAAATGCTAAAAATAAAAATTGAAATTGCTACCGAAAAGCTTGTTTAATCCCAACCATGCAGCTGGTCCAATAAAAGCTATCACTCAGAAAGCCTTGCCTCTTGCATATTTTTGAACCATCACAGCTACAACAGCACTTTAACATGACCAAAATCTGAGTAAGTTCTTTTCTGTTATGAGTCTATTATTGAACACACAACACTGCTAATTTATATAATATTTTTGCTATGCATTTGAGATTATGGACAGAATACAAATACTACAATCCACCACACAGTTAGCTCCTCCTTCAAATGAAGTAAGAATTCTGATTTCTCTTTAGAAGTTATTTCTGTAAGGAAGGCCAGCAATCTTGCACTAGGTTATTATACATGCTGCTGGCTGTTTTAGGTCTCTGTTTGGGTGGCTCCACTGAATATTATATGCATGATACTAAGCCTAACACAGCCCTTCTTCCACTACTTGAGCTTTACTAAGGCTTCTATACCTTCATACACCAAGAAAACAGAATACATGCAGAATACAATGAGAAACGCCCACTGGGCTTTAGTCAGGGTATCCTTTCACAAAAAGTGAACTTGCCAATGGAACCTTGTACTTGAATACCCTTTAAATGACCTTTCCCCACCACCAACCCTGCCACTAGTATCCAGAATCTGTCAAAGCAAGCTGTCACCTACAAAAGCTTATGCCTCTCTGAATCAATTAATCTCTAAGGTGCCACCCTGCTCTGCCTTCTGACCAATATCCAGAACAGTAATAGACCTCACTAAGGCTAAATGAGAAGGGAAAACCACTTCCACTAAAGCACTGACAGTTCTATGCTGCCATGGGAACGTACAGACCAAGCACTAGATCACTGCTGCAGATTTTACCCGCTGAAGCAATCTTCTTTTTTTGTACACAATACAAACATACAGACATTTATTTCACTGTGATTCAATGAGAAGCCTTGTCCTTTGACTTGGGACTTTTGAAACTTGGGTTTCAACAGCTCCGCATTTGAGGGATGCCACAAACACACTTTAGAGAAGAATGACAAAAGGAGAGAGGGAAACCTCTGTGATGAAACTGGGTCTAACTTGAAAATACCTTAATGTGAAGGTTTTAAGCAGCTATAGGATGAAGCAGCTGAATCCTCCCACTTTCATGGTGTTAGTGATACTTACGAACAATGCCTGGTTAATAGCCAGAAAGAAAAATTAAATCTTTAGACTTGAAGGCAATGGAGAACAGAGTCTATGCAAAATTTAATTGAGGCTCCTGACAGTCTAAGTGAGGTGATTCTGGCTGACTTCACAAAGCCAGTAAGTACATAAAGAACCACCACCAGGAAAGCCTGTCAAGGGGACCCCTGAAGGCTCCCTGCAGTATACAGTGGGTTACAGTTTCCTTTTTTTACAACTCTCACTGGGGAAATTCTGGGACCAGATGAAGCGGCAGAAATCTGTATCTTACTCATAGATTCACAGATGTTAGGGTCGGAAGGGACCTCAATAGATCATCAAGTCCGACCCCCTGCATAAGCAGGCACGAGTGGAGCCCAGCTAGATACTCGTCTAACCTCCTCTTGAAGACCCCCAGGGTAGGGGAGAGCACCACCTCCCTTGGGAGCCCGTTCCAGACCCTGGCCACTCGAACTGTGAAGAAGTTCTTCCTAATGTCCAATCTAAATCTGCTCTCTGCTAGCTTGTGGCCATTATTTCTTGTAACCCCCGGGGGTGCCTTGGTGAATAAATACTCACCAATTCCCTTCTGTGCCCCCATGATGAACTTATAGGCAGCCACAAGGTCGCCTCTCAACCTTCTCTTGCAGAGAGAGAAGGTCAAGAGGTTCTCTTACTCTTTATTTCTGAACCAGAAAGATAATTTTCCCCAAGTGATGGTAGGTTCTTTTTGTCTTAACTTTAGGTTGGTGGCCATTGGTCTGATACACTCTGACCATCTTGAAAGGAGAATTCAAAATTTGTAAACAGTGCTTCTTGCAAGCTGTGGAACACTGGATCCTGAGCCAAAGGAAGAAATTTGAGACTGATTCAATTAGTAAGTCTAAACATTGTGAACAAGAGGGATATCCCTAGAGCAATCAAACATGTCACATCTGATCTGAGTTTCCTCATTTACCCATGGTATCAGTGATTCCTTCTTCTCCCCTACTTGTAACAGCTACAAAACTTGAGTCTGTTCACAACCACCAAAAATAGAACAAGATCTGAAACACTTCCTGGGGCAACTTGTATTGTTCTGGGGAAATGGATCTTCTTATAAGCTAGTCTGTCTGGATATCAAGTTTTATGACCAACTAGGTAGCTATAAAGGATGTCAGGTGACATGCTACCCATTCCATTATAACTTCTTCAACAAATCTGCTTCCAATGTCACCTTCCCCAATACTGTCTGATACAACAATTTTATTGCCTGTTTAGATCTGTGCAGCTTGTTTTCCCATCAGCTTCTGATCCACAGTATTCACATACAGGAAGGAGTTAGATTTCTCAATCTCATAACAAGGCTCTGGATGATGATAAAGTACATAACCTTGGAAAGAGCAATCTCTATAGTGAACTTTTTTCAAGACTTCCTAGTACCCTCATAGAAGAAGCAAGTGGTATGCTCTTCCTTGAGATTTGACCTGAGAGAATGTCATGGTCATGTAAATTCTTCCTAGATGTACCTAGGACTTTACACACTTTTTATATGAAGACCTGCTCCACAATAAAAACTCTTGCCTGGTCCCAGGGTAAAGGATGGCTTTCATCTCAGAACAATGCCTTCTCATATCCAGTAGTCCTGAGAAAGTTGTAAGTAGCAGATAGTGAAAGATTGCCCCAGAGGATCTGAAGTAAGACAGACCTATAAATGCGACTTCCAGAGCTCTCCTCTTCCCCAGAAAGTCATTGTTGCCTAGTCAAAACCGAGAGTCTGATTAAATGGATAAGGCTTAGATGCCTGACTGCATGTTCCCCATTAGGCTGAAGCTTCAAGAGAGTTTATGTGGAAGGGGCTTTCTCTTCATCTGATCTCCAAACAGAATTAGAGGCATTAATCAGGGCTGTGGATAAAGAGTACACACCACAGCTTTCTCTGAATCATAGCCTAATTCCCTCAGTACTTGGAAACAAGACCTGCATCTTCTAAGGTTTACTGAGTGTCCCACAAAGGTTCCAAGCAGAAAAAGCCTACCACAGAGGGATCTACAATGGGCATAGTGTTGTTGTACCACCTGATGCACCTCTTGGAAGGTACTACTGACTAATGCTTGAGAACCATTTGTTTAAAAACTTCAAGATAGTGAAAAACCAGAAGAGAAGCTACACACTAGAAGCATAAAAGCTTATTGATACTGATGCAAAGCAAATTGAGTTTACAGGAGCAGATTAGTCATAAGCAGAAAGTGTTCATCAGAAAAAAAAGGTTACTGAGCAACAAAAGATTTAAAATGCTATGAAAACTTGAACTGATCTAGTGTCAACATATTATAATTTAGCCCTTACGGCTCCACAATACATTATTGAGGTATTTTCATTCAATATTGCTGTCTGAGTAACAAAGATTGCTAAAACCTAAAAGCTGTTTAAAAAGTATTTAACTAAAGGGAACAAAAGTTGTAAATTTGGGAAAATTTCAAATACATAATATAATATTTCATAATATAACAGTGCAAACTCTAACAACCATTTTGCTATTATAGCCAACACCCTCAGTTTTGTTATAGCTTTAATGGTATAATTTTGGGGAAGTGAAAGAAAAGACACTGATGGAAACTTCAGGATTAGGTTTTGTAGATTTCTAGTTAAAAATTTAAACATGTTTTCATTTCAAATTTAGATCTGATCATAGACTGATTGAGCACAATGAGAAGTATTTTGAAATGAGCCTGCACAACTAAAAGAAATAACAGGTCAAGTGAAATAGGCACTGATACTTAAACCATATGCTGATGTAAATTCCAGTGGAGAGAAAGTATTTATTTCAATGTATGTGCTTGCTTAAGAGCTTTTTCCTCTTGTATTGTGCAATAGCTCTATTTAAAAATCAACACCATTAAAAATAAATGTTTTATAAACATAGTAAGAAAAGATTACATCAGAGACTGTCATGGAACTGTACATCCCAACTTAAAAAACAAAACAATCAAAAACATGGATGCCTAATTTAGGAGGAAAAAAAAAATCAGTATGCAAAGTCGTAAGTACCTGAGATTTTATCTTTTTCAACATTAACTCCATCTAAAAATGATGACGTCCCAATTTAGTTTGTATTTATTACCTATAATAGTATTGTGGTATGTCAGCAGG